GACTCACAGCAGACTACCACTGCCCCGAGGCTTTGCACAGGGCACAGCGAGGACTGGCTGGCCCGGGGCATGATGCTGCCAGCATCGACTGGACATGAGGATGGGGACCCTTAACAGTTTACCTGTCTGTCAGCTTCTCTCCCCCTGAGCTAGTGAGCTTCCTCATAACATGGCTACTCAGTGGGTATTAAAGCTGTGTGTACACCACCCTGAAGTCTGTTCCCAAGAGCGTAGTGAAGACACTGAAAAATACTTTGGAGCGACCAGACGAGGGCCCAGAGACAGGAAGTGAGCACAAGCTGCTGGGGATGGTAACTCCAGGCAGGGCTGCCACAGACTATGTGTGTGTGTGAGTGACACAGTGAAGCCAAGCACACACGGTGGCCTCTGCACCATGGTCTGCAGTGTGTCCTCTCTGTTCCCTGGGGAGAGTCATAGACTGTTCTGGAACATGAGCAGCGGGTGGGGTGCCCCAAGTCCACCTACAATGCCTATGTGAGTATCCCGCCCTAACCGAATACTGCAGAGGCTCCCAGGGCAGAAATTGCCAGCCTCACGGCTCTGGGCACAGGAGCCTGAGTCCACCATGCAGGCAGGAGCGTGGCATCCTCCGGATGCTCTAGGGCAGGCTTGGCTCAGGAAGGAGTTCCGTCCTGGCATCTGGGTCAGTCCTCACAGCTCTCCTGATCTCTTCAAAGGACACTAAGGCAGCACAGCCCCTGCTGTTGTCGATCCTGACTTACAGTGGACCCACAGGACAGGCTGTCAGCCCTCAAGATTGGAGGGAGACTCATTAATCACCTGCTTTATGCAGATGATACAACCTTAGTTGCTGAAAGCAAGGAGGACGTGGGGTGCCTGCTGTAGAAAGTCAAAGACCACAGCCTTCAGTATGGATTACACGCCAACGTCAAGAAGACAAAACCTTACCAACAGATAACATCATGATGAGTGGAGAAAAGATTAAAATTGTCAGTAACTTAATCTTAGCAGGATCACTCTTGGTATCAACAGTCAGGAGATCAGGAGATGTATAGCATTTAGGAAAGTCTGCTTTCGGGGACCTCTTTAAAGTCCTGAAGAGTACTGATGTCAGTTTAAAGACTAAGGTGCACCTGATTCAGGCCGTGATTTGTGTAATCAGTATGCGTCTGAGAGCTGGACAATGAATAGGGCTGACAGAAATGATGCCTTTGATGTGTCTTGTTGGAGTATTGAATATCCCATGGACTGCCAAAAGAATAGACAGATACGTCTTGGAAAAAGTGCAGCCAGAGTGCCCCTTAAAAACAAGACGAGCTTTGTCTCGCATACTTGCGCATGTTTCTAGGAGAGGCTATTCCTTGGAGAGAGACATCATGCTTGGAAAGGTGGGGTGTCTGAGAAGACTGTCAGCCAGATAGATTGGTTGTAGTGACCACGTCACTGAGCTTGAATGTGTCAGGCAGGGTTAGCATGGCACAGGGTCGGGTGGTTCAGATCTGTTGTTCATAGAGTCTCTAGGAGTTGTATGCAACCCAACGGCGCATAACAACAAAAACAGACCTTGTCACTAGAGCAGGCTGTCTGTCTTTTCTCATGGGGGGGACAGGTTCCAACGCCCCCTTGGAGAATGCTGAGCTGTCTGCTTCCTGGAAGACTTGCAGCCCCGTGTCTGTGGTGGGGCAGCTCTGAGGGCACTCGGTGGCTCAGTGCTAAGGAGCCGTGCTGCCTACCTGAAGACACATGGTTTGAATCCACCAGCTGCCTGTAAAGAAAGGTGGGCAACCCAGGAGAGTCCCTGCCTCTGACTGCCCACCACAGGGGCAGCTGTGTGTCCTTTTGACTTGATGGCAGTGAGCACGTGAGCCGCCCTGCTGACATGGTCGCTGAGTTGGAACTGATATTTGGGTTGGGTCTCCTGTGACTGTATCCAGTTGCTGAGTCAGGTTCAAGTGTGAAAGGCCCCAGAGTTAGAAAACGTGAATATGATATATGGTGACCTAAGGTCGACCCTTCAGACCCACCCAGGGGCCCTTGGAAGAATGCATTTGCCCTTGGTGTCCAGTCTTTGGGGCCATTCTATTCTGTCATGGTTAGAAACCCTCCCACACATGAGACGGCAGGAAAAGACGTGGATGGAGAGGACCTTCTTGGGCCTCTGGGATGTTTGAGAACATAATCCGTCAGCAGAGCTGGAGTGGGCCTGGGCCCCTCAGGTGGCAACCCCCTTGTCTCCAGCATTGTGACTCACTGGGTTTATTAAAGAGTTTGGCTGCTAACTGGAATGTCAGCAGCTGGTCCTTAAAGCTTAGAGCCTTGGAAACCGCATGGGGCAGTTCTCTGCCTTGAGGCCCGGGGTGTTAGCATGGACTCGCCAGCAGGTAGGTTTGAGTTTGTTGATCAGCTTTTGGGGACCCTCCTGCCTTTGAGTTATGGATGCAGACCCCTGAGGTTCTGTTAGCTTTCCTGCCTGACTCCATGCTCTGATCCCACCCTTGCCTGTTCAGTCATGCTGGATAGGGACCCAGGCAACCCAGCCACACTGCCCAGTCAAGTCCAATTCCTAGGATGGAGCACAGCTGCCCCTGGGATCTCCGAGGCCAGCGATCTTCATGGCAGTGTATCTGGTCGGTACCCCACAGAGTAGCTGACAGCCGGCAGGTTTGAACCTCTGAACTTTTACTTAGCTGAGCACTTTGCTCACAAGTGTCCAGGATTCTTGGGACCTGGCAGGCGACAGCCGACTTTGGGGTCATAGAAGCATAGGTCTGTGGTGTTTTCTGAAGCCTGGGTAGTGGGCTACGGTCTCATCTGACGTCAGGCCCGATCATTCCTTGAGGAAACCTGGTGATGTTCATCTGATGAGGTCCAGGGCCTGACCACATTGGCAGGACCCGTGCCCCCAAATTCCTGAGCAAACTGCCAGGCTCCCTAAATCTCCTAAACGGTCCCTATGAAAGGAAACTACTTGCCTGCATGCCGCTCTGACCTCTCTCGCCGTCACCCTCAGGCCTCCAAATAAAGGGCTGTTTGCTCCTTATTACCAGCTTGTTTTTTCCTCTCCCTCGTTTTCTATCATAACACCATAGATGGTGGTAGGTAAACTCCAAGGCCACCCTGCCACTGTTCATGGGGCCGTGGGAGTGAGGCCCCCTTAACCTGGGTAGGAGTTGAGTTTGTGTCACACTGGAGTGTCCAGGGCACTGGCCACCTCTCAGGCCCCACTGGCTGACCCTAGGACGGTGGCCCGAAGGCCATACCCACAGAGGGCTGGGTGGTCAGAAGGTGGGGATGGGAGGGGTGGGCTGCTCCAGAAGTCCATGTGTCCAGTGAGAGAGGCCTGTGCAAACTGCAAGACTAACCTGCCACCCCAGCGGGGGCCCCTGCAGAGCTGTGTAGGCGAGGAGTGACCAGGGTGGAGAGGGGCCCACAGGGCCAGGTTCTGAGGAAGGGGTCCCTGGAACAGGGAGGAGGGGGAAGCTGGGGTTGGGGGAGCACACATGGGGCTGGTCCGTGGGGCAGGGAGGGAGAGGCCACAGAGACTGGGTATTGGGGTCCAGGGTCCACAAAATGGGAAGCCGAGGTAGAGGAGTTGGGAGGGGAGGCTGGGGCCGAAGACCAGGGTGGAGATGGAGAGGGTTTGTGGGGCTGATGGTGTGCTTGAGGTAGGGAACTTGGGCACGGGTCTGTGCACAGGAGGCCTGGTTTGGGGGTATCGGCAGGACTGGAACGCCTTGGAGGTCTTGGGATCTGCAAGAGGGAGGCTGAGCTGGGGTGTTGGGGCGGAGCTACTGGAGGGGCGGTCCCTCGTCGGGGACCAATCGCGGGCGCCCCTGTCCCTGTCCCTGTCCTTGCTGCAGCAGCCACCTCGGCCTCCACGCAGCCAGGTACTGGAGCAGGGGAGGGGGCTGAGGCGCCCCAGGACTCGGGGAGGTTCGGGAGTGACGGGAAATGCCCCCTGCTCCTGTGGGGATGCGTCTGAGGGGCGCCAGGGCGGAGGGATAACGCGTTCGCCTTGGGGGTCCTGGCCTCACCATCACCCTGCTGGCAGCTCTGAGGGTCTGCTTCGTCCCGCCCTGCTGTCATCTCTCCTGATCTTTGAAGGCTCTGAGTCCCCCTTTCTGAGCCCCCTTTCTGGTCCTGGGTAGTCCCAGCCTGGCTATTTCAGCTCTCCCCTCCCCCTGTACCCCTGTCCTGGTGACCCCCAAGCGGGACCAGGAGGGCCCTGGGTGTGGGAACCCCCCCCATCACTGCCTCTTTGGTTCGCTCTGGCTAGACTCCTGCCTGGAACAGAGGCTGTGACGCGGCATCCCTGGTGGGTGAGGGGGTGGGAGGCGGAGGCGGCTGGTGACCAGGCCATTGAGATTTAACGCTCACACTGTGATGCAGAGAGAACTCAACCAGCCCACCTCTGCCATCCGCCACGCAGGAGACCCTGGGCTCATAGTCTTTTGCCCCTTTTCCTTCTGGCTTCTGTAGCAGGTACCTGACAATGTTTCTGAGTTCCCCCCATACCCTTCCCTTCTGTGGCATGGAAGGCACCCCCCCCCCCCCACTGGATGGTCTGTGGGTTTCCCTGTCCTGCTGGCTTCTGAGTCCCTCCCTCCTTGGACAATCAGAACCACTCACAAGTCCTGTTCTAACTTCCTGGGTCCCTTTGCGGCCCCCTGTGGGGGTAAGGCCCTGGCAGGGGTCATGGCATTTTAGGTTGACTTAACTAAAGGATAGTCACTTCAGATCCCCCAGAAGCCCCAGGGGAAGGGCCTGGCAAGCTGCAGTGCACACTCCAGGGACACAGGTCGCATTGTGGTCCTAGGAGTCCGAGCTGACTCTGGTCTGGATTTGGGTCTAAGATCACCCTTCGGGCTTATCCAGCCCCAGGGTGACTGACTGGACAGGGCAAAGCAAGAGGTTTTCTTCTGTGCTGCCCTGCGCCGGGCAGGACCAGGTCTCACACCTTTACCTGTTTGTCACTCAGTGTGGCCGGACACCCCTGATCATCCTCTTTCCCCACAGGAAGAAACACACTGTCTGGTCATGGCTTGTCCATCCCCCTGGACGTGTGAGGATGACGAAAGTCTCAAGGGCTGTGAGCTCTACGTGCAAAAGCATGGCATCCAGCAGGTGCTCAAAGAGGGTATCGTGCACCTGTGCATCGCCAAGCCCGACCGGCCCATGAGGTTCCTGCGGGATTACTTTGACAAGTTGGAGAAGGTCAGTGAACTTGACCACCTGCTGCTTTCTCTGCAGGTGTCTTGGGGTGGGTTTGAGGGGGTGAGAGGAAGGGAGCACATGGCAAAGCTCTCCTCCTGTCCATCCATCAGCGGTGTCAGATGCCCTCAGGGATGCAGTTTATGGGGGACTTCAGGGCAGCAGGGGAGAAGTCCATTTGGGGCAGACTCTCTGGCCTGGTTTGGGTCTTAGGGTTTCCAGTGTCCTTGGAGGGCCCTCTGGAGGCATCACAGGTGTTAGGCCCTGCTGCCCGTCAGGGGACGCACCGGGGATGGGCAGAGGATGTGGAGACCATGTAGCGTCCTGTGGGCATGATAGACGAGGTTTCCTAGGCCATTACCTTAAACATGTCAACGCTGAGTCATCTTCAGTCCCCAAGCCAACCTCTGTCTGGTGGACCTTGACTTGGTCGATCCTGGGGGACAGAGTAGAACTGCCCCATGAGGCTTCCAAAAGGGGTCGGCGGTGGAGAAACGAGGGTAGGTTCAGGCACCACCTGCTTTTGGGATGAAGATGAATTAATGCTGCTCGCTAAGGTTGGCGTGGATCTGTGTCTGAAGCTTTGCGCACCTGCTGGTTTGTAGGCTACTGTCAAGTCAGAGCTGACTCATAGCTCATCCTCCAGTGGGTTTTTAGAGGCTGGAAATTGTTTGCAAGGAGATTGACCATCGTGTCCTGTGGAGCAACTAGTGGATTCGAACCGTGTGCCTTGCGGTTGGTAGCACAACGCCTTACCCATGAGGCCACCAGAACTCCCCTTGTAGACACTGGGGGAGGGGGAATCCCCTGGGTGGGGGGAGTGTGTGTCCTGTAGCCTGTGTGTCATCTGCTGAGGCAGTAGACTGGCATTTTTTCAACTTTTCCCTCATTGGTTGGAACACGGTCTTGTTTCCAAGGCTAAATTTCTGTGCCACCACACTGGACTCTGACCCGTACTGACCTGCAGGATAGCATAGAGTGGTCCTAGAGGCTTCCAAGGCTCTATGTCATCCTCTTCAGGAACCCTCGGGGTGGGTCTGCACTTCAGGAACCCTCGGGGGCGGGTCTACACCATCCTCAGGGAACCTTCTGGGGCGGGTCTACACTTTCAAAAACCTTTGGGGCTGAACTGTTGAATGCACTGAAGCTCTGGTCGTCTTGGCCCGGGGGCCTGCTGCCCAGGGAGGGGACAGTGGCTGGGATAGCCCCCTCTCCTTGGTGGAGCCAGCTAGTGTGGGGCCAGCTGAGGGATGATGTCCTGAGCCTGGTCACTTCAGGGTACATGTCTGAGTGCTCAGTAGGGCCCCAGCTGATGCCTGGCTGCCCAGAGGGCGTGGTTTGGTTCTTGGCACCCAGCTGGACGGGCCAGCGTGAGTGGTCATATTACACAGTAAAGGAGTGTTGGTGGCCCAGTGGTTGAGTGCACAGCTGGGACCCAAGGGATCAGTAGTTCAAACCCACCAGCTGTTCTTGGAAAGAAGATAAGGCTATCTGTGTCTGTCGCCTTGTGGCTCCTCGAGCAGCACTCCCTGTCCTCGGGGGGTGTGGGAGTCAGAAGCCACTTGACACAGTAGGGTTTGGGTGGGTGTTGTGTTGTCTTTGGTGTGATGGCTTTAAATGAGGCTGCTTGCTTCTTGTTGTGGAGTGTTAAGTTTCATGTATTTTAGAGAAGCCTTGGGTTGGAGCCTGTAAGCACTTGACTGTTGGCTGCATCCGTGGTCTGAACCTGACCAATGCTCCAGCGAGGGAGGTCAAGGAGGAAGGGGGGTGCTCTGCTTCCTCCAGTGTTTCCAGCCACCACATAGGGACGTCTGCCCCATCCTGTGGGGTCACTGGGAGTCAGAGTCACCCCAAGCCAGTGCCTGTTCGACCTGGTGTTCCTGTCCCTGGGGCTCCTCCCTGGCCTGGCTCCTGGTGGCCGTGCCCTGGGCTGGTTTGTTGGCATGGGACGCTCATGGTTGACACTGGCCTTCCCCATCCTGCAGGTGGCTGGGAGTCAGAGTTACCCACCTGGTGTCCATCTGACCCAGCGTCTGTCCGTCCATCCATCCCTGGGGCTCCTCCCTGGCCTGGCTCCTGGTGGCCGTGCCCTGGGCTGGTTTGTTGGCATGGGACGCTCGTGGTGGACACTGGCCTTCCCCACCCTTCTGGCGCCCTCCTTCGTCTTTACTTCTCTCCTGCCGTTTGGTCAGACAGGACGGTGATGATGGTCAGGATGATTCTGCAGCTGTGGACAGGAGACAGGAAGGAAGAGACCTGGCATCTGGTCTTGGAGGGGCCCACACTTAGCTCTGCAGCAGGGAGCATGTGGGCACCCCTGCCGAGAGATGTCTTTGAAAACAGACTGGCTGTGCCGGTGGCTACTGGCCGCTCTTGTGGACCAAGGGGGACACTGGTCTGTCAGATGAGTGTGGCTACTGTTGTGAGTTTCGGTGTGCATTTCCTGTGACCCTACAGCAGACAGCGTGCCAGCAGACAGAGGCGTGCGCTGCCTGGGATTGGCTTGATGTTTTTGTAAGCAGGAACTCTTTTTCTTTTTTTACAGAAGCTACAATTTAAGAATAAAGTGACTATAAACAGTATTTCTAAAGGCACGAAGGCAAGGCCTTCAATGCTCCTCCTGGAGTGCTCAGGGCCCTGGGGGGCAGTGGGCTAAGGCAATGTGTAAGGACACAGGAAAAATTGGGCTGCGTGAGAATGTTGTAGCAGATGAGAACCAAGTTTGACTTAAGGGAAGTGTGGTCAGCGTGCTGCTTGGAGGGCAGGATGGCCCGCATGCTGTGAGCACATTACCAGGAAGGGCAGTCCTGGAGAGGGGTGCCAGCTGGGAAAAATTGTTGTGTACTGTTGAGTTAGAACTGACTCATAGCTGACCCTCCAGAGGGTTTTCAGAGGCTGTAAATCACAAGAGAGAAGATTACCCATCTTTCTCCTTTAGACCACTGACAGGTCCTGAACTGCCTACCGTTGGGTTAGCAGCACAGCTCCTTGCCATGAAGCCACCAGAGCTCTGGATATAGTTGGCACAAAAGAGGGAACGTTCTGATAGGGATTGAAGCAGTGGCTGCATCCAAGGCTTTGGAGAGAGTGGTGGGCATGGGGCAGGGGTGAAGGGTAGGCGGCGGGCAGGCTGGGGGAGGGCAGTGGACGTGGAGGAGGACAGGCTTCTTGGGGGAGGGAGGTGGACGTGGAGGAGGAACAGACTTGAGGGGAACGTGGTGGACATGAAGGCGGAGGGCTTGAGGGGAGGGTGGGGGCATGGAGGACAGATTAGGAGTGAGTTGTGGATATGGACAGCTTGGTGGTGAGTGGTGGACATGGAGGATAGCTTGGGGGTGAGTGGTGGACATGGAGGATAGCTTGGGGGTGAGTGGTGGACATGGAGGTGAGGAGGCTTGAGGGGAGGGTGGGGGGTGAAGGACAGGTTAGAGGGAGAGTGGTAGACATGGAGGAGGAGGGACTTGAGGGGAGGGGTATGGAGGACTGGTTAGGGGGTGAGTGGTGGACAGGGAGGAGAGGGTGGTGAAACAGTTGAGGTGTAGGAGCTTCTTGAGGAGGTGGGGGCTAGGATTGTTTGGACATGGCTGGTGTTGGATGTGCCCCACTGAGGCCAAGCTCTGAGAACATGGCCTTAGAATTGGCCAGTGGGAGGACGCCCTCAGCCCCAAAGTATGAGAAAGCTGTTGAACTGACCCCTTTGAGTCCCAAAGGCTGTAAATCTTGGTCAGCAGACTGCTTCATTGTTCCCCCACTGAGCAGTGAGGTTGAACCACTGACCTAGGGTTTGCTGAGTGTTTTAACCTCTGTGCTTCCCAGGGCTTCTTAAAACCCACCCACCCCACGGCTGTCCAGCTGACTCAGTTCAGCGGCTTGGCAGGACAGAGCAGTGCCCTGAGCTTCTCGGGCTGGAAGCCTTCACAGACTCTGGGGCCTGGAGTGGCTGGAGGTCTGCATTTTGGTTAACTATATCCTTAATCACTGTGCTCCCAGGACTCTGTGGAAGGGCATCTGTGTCCCACTGCCCTGGAATTGCCCTTGCTCTGGGTTGTGGTGCCCTGGGGACCCACACTCATCTTTCCGAGGCTGCGAATTTTGATGGGAGGACAGTTTCTCATCTTTATGCCTTGGAGCAGCTGGTGAGTTTGAACTGTCAGCCCTTTGGGTAGAAGGGCAGCACTGACTGCACTGAGACGAGCCTGTCGTCATCCTCAGGCCGCCTCTGTGGCTTTAGCCTTTGAGGATGTTCAGAGGAGTTTCATGCGATTCCACAGCTGTCACAGGTCTGAGGGAACTGGAGACTCCCAGCGTGTTCCGTCAGCATGTGTAAACTCATCCTTGCTCCCTTCAGACGTTTATGTGTTAATTAAACTGGCAAAATGAAATTAGCTTCATTTTTGTTATTAACTGACTAGCCATTTATTTATGCATATCTGTTTCTACTTGGCATATTTTTGGTTTAAGGCTCTTAAAAATCTTGACAGATGCATTCAACTCCCTCATTCTCACTCCTTGTGGTTGACTTACAGTTGAACCTCCAGCAGGTCTTCTGAGACAGTAAGTTGAATGGGAGGAGATTGATGGACTTGAACCGCATGCCTTTGGGTGGTCAGCCCAACTTCCTATGCACTAGACTACCAGAGCTCCCTATCAGATACATTGTTGTTAGTTGCCACCAAGTTGACTGACAGACGCAGTGACCCTGTGAACAACAGCTCTGAACCTTGTCCTGTTTGCGTCATCCTCACGACCTCTGACGTGCCCGGCCTTTTGTTGTCAGCCCGTGTCAGTCTGTGGCATTACAGCTTCCTTCTCTGACCATCATCACCACAGACAGCACGTAAGCTACAGCCCCACTCCTCGCCTCCCTTCCAGTGTTGCTAATAGAGGCTGTGCCGTGAGTTCACTCAGTGGCTCCACATCCAGCAGAGTGAAGCCCACCAGGCCTGCGCCGTCCTCACCGTCCGCCAAGCTTGGGTGCACTGTTACGGCCTCACGGCCAGGCT